ATGGAGCTTTGTCACTAAAGAGCCAAGGATGCAAAGATGACCAGTATTATTATTCCTGTTACTTTGTGCAGCCCAGAGCCTTACACTAGCCATGATGTCCCTGTCCTGACACCTCAAAGATTTTAAAGAGGTGGAGGAGGCAAAGGGAGCCAGCGATAGGCAGGAATAGGCCAACAGGGACCTGTGACTGAGCCACATCTGGGGACATTACACTCGGTGGCATCCAGTCCGGTTGATGTCCTGGCCAGGAAGGAAGGTGAGCAAGACACTCAAGGTCACAGCCTCTCGAGGCCACTTCATGTCCTCTGTGCTGCCAGGGCCTCGGTTTAACAGCAAAGGGACCCAAAGGCCACCAGGAGCCGGCTGGACTCCATCTCCTCATAGTGGCTGGGATCGGCTGTGACAAAGGACTGCTGAGGTCATGAGGATGCACCTGGGTTCTGCCTGTCCAATGAAAGATGGGCTGTTGTAGAAAGAAGGGGTCCCACTGTCAACCCTGGGTACAGTTCCTTGTCACTACGATAATTATGAATTCCTCACTGTCACCTCCTTCCTGTCATTTGACTGGCCTTTCTGCTTTAAATGGCAAAAACACATTTAATTTTAGATCTGAAGGGACCTGGATCTTGAAACCAGGAAACAAATTTGTGAAGTGACTCAGCAGCCAGCTGGTGACGCCCCCGCGACAGCTCAGATTTCTGAGCAAGGCTATATTTTTAAAGCAATGCAGCCCTACACCAAACTAATTATAGGCTTGGTCCACAGTGTATCTCGTAATTAAATATTTCTCTCAACGTCCAGGAGAAACTGTACAGAGTCCTTATTGTGGAAGGCTGGTGTTGGGAAGGGAGCGTCCTAAAAAAAGTGTGAATCTTTGGGGGAAAAAAAGCTTTTTTTCAACAATCAAATTTTATCTTCCACTTAAGGAGATGGGTATAAATGTCACAATGTACCCCCCGAATAATGATAATAATTTTTAAAAGAAGGAGATGGAGTTCATAGAGCGTGGAAGGTGGGTGGTGGGGGCTGGGGTGAGTGCGTCAGTGGTTGCAGGATGGAGTTCTGGGGACAGGTGGGGACCACATGGCACAGCCGCTGCCCTGAACGTAACACTTCTAACACGTCTGCCCAGCACGCTTAAAAATGGCAACTTTTACCACCATTTAAGAGCAAGAATAGATGAAAACAGAGCCCAAATTCTTTAAATAACTTGGAAATGAGGGCGAGCTGGACAGGAAGTCGGTGAGGTGGTTGTTTTTAAGCCCAGGCCAGCAGGGCGTGTTCTGCCGGTACAAAAGCCTGTGTGTCAACAGGAAAAAGGACACAGCCCCTCCCCGGGCTCCTCTGTCACCTCTGGCCCACAGATCCTCGGTGACCCCGTTGGGTTGTATAACCGATGACAAGACGCAGAACCTTCCAGGCAGAACCTCTCCTGTCCCCTTCAGTTAGGGACTAAGACAGTTGTTAATGATGGAGGGGGGGTGAATTTAGCCAAGATTTGTCACAAGCACTTTGGTAAATGTCACAGCATACCCCAGGACAATGATTTAATAAAAAAATTAAAAAAACCCAAAATAACAAGAAAAAGCACTTGCTGACCCTTGTGGTTCCAAGCCAGTTTCTGGATGCTGAGCCAGGTCACACAAGGTATGACCTTCAGGGGACCCGATCCTCTGGGGGAAGGAAGCCAGGCAGCCCCGTGTCTCCCTCCCCCACCCCACAGCCCAGCGAGCTCAGCTCCTCACGTGCCCAGGGCCACTGCCAATCCCGCCCCGTTGCTGGGCCCCTGTCCCTGTCTCATTGGTGCCAGCTCTGAAGTCATGTTTTCCGGGCACCTGCAAAGGACGGATCTGTGGGTGGAACGAACTGCAGGCAGTCGGGTGACTCACCCCCTTCTCGCACATTCTAGCACGTCGCATTCTAGGTCAGGAGGCTTTAGGTTTTCGGAGTGTGACTTGATACCCAACTCCTGAGGGCAAGTGGGACACTCAGGGAGTCATTTACAGATGACACAGCCACACTGACGTCCTCTGGAGGGCAGGGTTTCTCAGGTTGCCCTGTTGATCCCTTGGTGGCCTTGGGTTTCCTTGGGGGAGGGGAGCGGGGACTGTCTGTTGTGAAATGTTTAGGATTGTCCCTGGTCTCTGACACTAGTACTACCACCTTCCTAATTACCATGGTTGTGCAACCCCAAATGTCCCCAGTCATTGACAAATGCCCCTGCAGGTTGAGAAAGAGAAACCTTCTCTCTAGAAGCCCTTTGCCCCCACCCCTTACCTTGACCCCTGGGGTCATTGCCTTCTGCTTTGGGAACAACCCACTGTGGGGTTTTGGGGACATTCGGAGAACTTTTCCTGCTAGCAATAACAGTGTTTTCTCCTTGGAGCTGACCTTTGGCCTGTCCACTTCTTCCTCCTGCTCCCTCCTCCTCTCCCTCCTCCTCCTCTCCCTCCCCTGCCTCTGAAATCCTGGCTGTTTACCTCTGTACCTTCTGGACGCCCCCCCAAAAATGCTGATGTCACAAAGCTCATGACTCAGGCTGTGAACAACATGCATCACAAGCCTGGAGCAAAAACAGGGTGTGACTGAAGCCAGGCCAGGTCACCCTGGAACCAAGCTCAGGATTTTTTTTGTTTCTTTCCAAACGTCTACCTGAAATGTGAGAAGAACCTTCACGTATCTCTGTTTGGAAGTCACGGGGCTCCTCCTAAACCTGGAAACACAAGAACTCATTCTCTGGAGAATTCGAGATGAATTAAGGCCTAACTGCTCACTCCCTTGGACCTTGATCTGTCACAGGACACAGACACAGGTTACTGTGGACAAAGATCACTGTTTTTCCCCAGTGCTCAGCAGAGTTTGGATGGCACACAGCTGTGAATAAACTATTCTAGTTTAGCAAAAGAAACACTGGAAGGGCTGAGAGGGACAGTGGCCAGGACTCACACTTGGCCAGGCGAAGGGGAAATTAAGTTTTCAGACGAATAAATTAACACATGCATAAAACAAATGATTCCTCAGAGGTGCTCACACTTAATGTGAAAATAAGTCCTTCAGGCCAAAGGAAAATTGTACCAGGGGGGACATTCATTTATGTAAAATAACAAATAGTGCCATAGATCCAGGGACAAATACATATGATTTTTTGTTATTTCGATCTCTTCAAGAGATAATTGACTGTTTAAACAAAAGTAGAAATGTTCTGGGGTTTATTAGCTATACAGAGGGAAAACTCACGACGGTAATAGTGGCAAAAGCAGGGAAAAGAGTATTTTAACTGCAAGTCTTCTACAGGAAGATGAACGTGCCGGTGGCTTATGTGATCTAATAGCAAAGGTCGACTGCCACGGGATCTACACTTGTGGTTTTGAGTTCACACACTGTAAAGTGTAAGTTTAGTATTTATAATTTATAAACAACGTTTACATTAACGGCTGAATATTATTCACCCACCAGCTTCTCAATTCTTTTTTTTCTGCAATGCTTTAAAGGTAGAAATTCAAACATCCACCATCACCCACCCACGCTTGTAGATACAGGACGGACCTAGAAGAGTCCAGAAGGAACAGTGGCTGGGGAATTAAGGCCAGCGGGGAGATGTTTGGCTGTAAACCTTAAAAAAAAAAAAAGAAAATCTCACCATGTTCATATATTTTAAAATATGCTGAAGAAATGACATGTAACGAGAGGAGTCACAATTTAAGGTGTGGCAAAATTTAAAAATCCATCTTGTGATCCTCCTGTGCTTTCTCCCCCTCATCTTTTATAAAAATAGAACGTGCCTGCAGAATTCACACTTGACAAAAATTTTTTCCAGAAATATCCAGGGCTGAGATTCAATTCCTATCTTAAAAAAAAATGTATCTCAGGTCTTACATTTCAGAGTTGAAAGCACTTGCAATATTTTCCCCATAAGAAGATGGCGTTTGGAGGGGGGGAAATCTAAGCTGTAGGGTGAGCACTTTTGCAAAGACCCAAAAACAAACAAAAAAGGCAAAGCAGGAAAAGGAAAGGACATGATGTTTGGGGAGACAGACAAGTCCACCATGATGAAATCCCACAAATAAAAACACCACTTAGTGCCCTATAAATATGTCCAGCTTTCACATCTCACTTAAGCGCACATTTACTTTAGGGCTGGGATGTGGCTGGGTGGTGACACTGGGCTGACTCGAGTTCATCAGCACAGCTGAAGTTGCCATGTCACCTTGGTGACACCCAGCGCAGCCCTGGGGACCCCCAGGCCCCCCACCCGCGGGCCCTGCAGCCCCGTGGCGCCCGCGGGTCTGGATGTCACCACTGTCCCCAAGGGCCGAGGCCTGTGAGCCTGGGATTTGCACCGTCATCCGCCTTGTCCCGGTGCCCGCGCAGCGGGGGCGGGGCGGCGCCACCGAGCGGGGAGCAGAGGGGAGGGGACAGGGTCAGGGGACGGGGGACTCTGCCAACCAAAGTCACCATGGGGGTCCTAACGGGATCCCAAATCCAGACCCCGCAGTCGGGGTGGAGCGGTGGGTGTACGGCGCGGGGCGCCCACCAGGGGATGGGGACCCCGACTTCGCGGGAGGCGCACGCTCCCTCTGAACCCCCCAGACGGTCAACGGTGGGGACAATCGGGACGAAGGAGGGGGCGCGCGGGCAGGGCGGGAGAGTTGTGGAGTGGGGTGGGGTTGGGGGAGTGTGTGGGGGTGTGTGTGTGGGGGGGTGCAGTCCGCTCCGCCTACGCGATCCGGGCCGGGCTTTGGCGCCTCCCGTCACTGCCCCTCCCTTGCCACCCCTCCCCCGGCGAGCGCCGGTTGCGTAGTCGCAGTGCGCAGCGAACGCGCTGATCCTTCCGCCAGTTGTCGCAAGACGGCCGCCCCCTCCCCACTTCATGTAGCTCTCACGATCCAGGTTCAACAGGGAAACATTTTAGGAGAGGAATTGGGTGATTCTAGTATTTATTTTCTTTACAGAGAGCGGAAAGTCCTAAGAAAAGTAGTCCCTTCTCGGCGTTTCCGCGGAGGGATCTTCCGGGATGGCGGTCGCTGGCTATATAAGGCGACGCCGGGCGTGGCGCAGCTAGCTCGGTCGAGACTGCGAGTTCTGTCTCTTGTGTTTTGAGAGCCGTGTTTTCACCGCCGCTGGTAAGGAGAGGTCTGCTGTGCCCGCGGGGACTGAGAGGCCATCAGGCCACCAGGGGTGTGAAGCGAAAAGGCGGCCGAGGCCCTTGTGGCCCGGGATCCGCGAGCCGGCCGGGTAGGCTGACGGGGAGGACGCGGCAAAATGGCGGCCGTTTGGGACTCTTGAGTGGAGAAAGCCCGACTATAAGGACGGTGTTGAGGTCAGAGTAGTCAGCGGGTGGTGGGTGCGAGGAAGACACCCGAGGGTCCTGAGGCTGGAAATAACAGATTCTTTTTGGCTGGGTGGGCTAGCGGCGGGGGCTGTGTGTTGAAGGGTTGACTGAGCAGGAGAAATCGGCTTTAAATACGAGGGGGCCGGGGGGGCCGGGAAGCCCGCGCGCCGTCGCGGTTGCGTGACGTCACCCTTTCTGCTGGCTCATAGTGCGGGGTGGGGTCGCAGTTTGCTCATTAGCAGGACGCAGGGTTTGGGGCTGCGGTGGCCGCTGAATTGACCGGAACCGGACATCCCGAGGAGGGGGAGAGGAGCGAGGCCCCCGAGTCTTAATTTTGGTCAGCTTTTCTCAATTTCCTCCTTAGTGCCTGAAACGAGGGATCGGGAGTTGTTCAGGCTGTAGCTCCTATTTATATTCTTGCTTTGTTTTTGGCAGTACTGTGGGTTGAACTGTGAGCCTCAGGCTTGCTGGGTAGAGGCTCTACCATTTGAGCTAGGCGGCCAGCTCTTTTCCTTTATTGCTTTTACTGAGGCAGAGTGTTTGCTTTGGCTGTTTACCGATATAAAGTGGTAACTGAACTATTACAAATGTAAAGAAAGTAGTCAATCATCTACTAAATTTTCTTTGTTGTTCTTGTGCTTTTGTTGTGATAGATAATGCAGATCTTCGTGAAGACCCTGACTGGCAAGACCATCACCCTGGAGGTGGAGCCCAGCGACACCATCGAGAATGTCAAGGCAAAGATCCAGGACAAGGAAGGCATCCCCCCTGACCAGCAGAGGCTGATCTTTGCTGGCAAGCAGCTGGAAGATGGCCGCACCCTGTCTGACTACAACATCCAGAAGGAGTCCACCTTGCACCTGGTGCTGCGTCTCAGAGGTGGGATGCAGATCTTCGTGAAGACCCTGACTGGCAAGACCATCACCCTGGAGGTGGAACCCAGCGACACCATCGAGAATGTCAAGGCAAAGATCCAGGACAAGGAAGGCATCCCCCCTGACCAGCAGAGGCTGATCTTTGCTGGCAAGCAGCTGGAAGATGGCCGCACCCTGTCTGACTACAACATCCAGAAGGAGTCCACCTTGCACCTGGTGCTGCGTCTCAGAGGTGGGATGCAGATCTTCGTGAAGACCCTGACTGGCAAGACCATCACCCTGGAGGTGGAGCCCAGCGACACCATCGAGAATGTCAAGGCAAAGATCCAGGACAAGGAAGGCATCCCCCCTGACCAGCAGAGGCTGATCTTTGCTGGCAAGCAGCTGGAAGATGGCCGCACCCTGTCTGACTACAACATCCAGAAGGAGTCCACCTTGCACCTGGTGCTGCGTCTCAGAGGTGGGATGCAGATCTTCGTGAAGACCCTGACTGGCAAGACCATCACCCTGGAGGTGGAGCCCAGTGACACCATCGAGAATGTCAAGCAAAGATCCAGGACAAGGAAGGCATCCCCCTGACCAGCAGAGGCTGATCTTGCTGGCAAGCAGCTGGAAGATGGCCGCACCCTGTCTGACTACAACATCCAGAAGGAGTCCACCTTGCACCTGGTGCTGCGTCTCAGAGGTGGGATGCAGATCTTCGTGAAGACCCTGACTGGCAAGACCATCACCCTGGAGGTGGAGCCCAGTGACACCATCGAGAATGTCAAGGCAAAGATCCAGGACAAGGAAGGCATCCCCCCTGACCAGCAGAGGCTGATCTTTGCTGGCAAGCAGCTGGAAGATGGCCGCACCCTGTCTGACTACAACATCCAGAAGGAGTCCACCTTGCACCTGGTGCTGCGTCTCAGAGGTGGTGCAGATCTTCGTGAAGACCCTGACTGGCAGACCATCACCCTGGAGGTGGAGCCCAGTGACACATCGAGAATGTCAAGGCAAAGATCCAGGACAAGGAAGGCATCCCCCCTGACCAGCAGAGGCTGATCTTTGCTGGCAAGCAGCTGGAAGATGGCCGCACCCTGTCTGACTACAACATCCAGAAGGAGTCCACCTTGCACCTGGTGCTTGCGTCTCAGAGGTGGGATGCAGATCTTCGTGAAGACCCTGACTGGCAAGACCATCACCTGGAGGTGGAGCCCAGCGACACCATCGAGAATGTCAAGGCAAAGATCCAGGACAAGGAAGGCATCCCCCCTGACCAGCAGAGGCTGATCTTTGCTGGCAAGCAGCTGGAAGATGGCCGCACCCTGTCTGACTACAACATCCAGAAGGAGTCCACCTTGCACCTGGTGCTGCGTCTCAGAGGTGGGATGCAGACTCTTCGTGAAGACCCTGACTGGCAAGACCATCACCCGGAGGTGGAGCCCAGCGACACCATCGAGAATGTCAAGGCAAAGATCCAGGACAAGGAAGGCATCCCCCCTGACCAGCAGAAGGCTGATCTTTGCTGGGCAAGCAGCTGGAAGATGCCGCACCCTGTCTGACTACAATCAGCCAGAAGGAGCCACCTTGCACCTGGTGCTGCGGCTCAGAGGTGGGATGCAGATCTGTCGTGAAGACCTCTGACTGGCAAGACCATCACCCTGGAGGTGGAACCAGCGACACCATCGAGAATGTCAAGGCAAAGATCCAGGAACAAGGAAGGCATCCCCCCTGACCAGCAGAGGCTGATCTTTGCTGGCAAGCAGCTGGAAGATGGCCGCACCCTGTCTGACTACAACATCCAGAAGGAGTCCACCTTGCACCTGGTGCTGCGCTTGAGGGGAGGTTTCTAAATTTCCCCTTTATTTTAAGCTTTTGACAAGTTTCATTGCACTTTTCTTTCAATAAAGTTCTTGCATTCCAAATTGTGTTTGTGTAAGTTGTGTTTTAAGGTTTTTTCAGTGAGTTGTGGAGGGTCACAGGGTTATTTAGTTTTCTGTATTAAACATAAGGTAAAACCTGCAAAGGTAGCATAATACAGAACTATATAGAGGATGGGTACAAATAGAGGTAGATATTGGGATGGTGTAATATGTTACACATGTCAATTTACATGTGAGCTACTGAGTGTAAAATAATGGGTTGAGGCTTGTGAAAGTGTGTTGGAAATTGAAGGTCTTAAAAAGATGTTGGAGGAGCTCTGTAGAAGTCAGATTTAATGTAAATGTAGCTATACACCATAGAAAGCCAGATTTTAAAAAGGTGGCAGGTAATATATTACATATCAACCATACTAAGAAGTTTTTTTTGTGGGGGGTAGGTTGGGGTGAAGGCAGTACTAGGTTTTGAACTCTGCTCCTTGCGTTTGGTTGACAAGTGCTTTCCCCTGAGCCACAACCCGAGCCCCAGTAGGTGTTGTCCTGTTCTGTCCCAATACTGGGGTTTGGACTCAGGGCCTATACTTTTAGCCACTCCACCAGCCCTTTTTGGTGAAGGGTTTTTTGAGATAGGTCTTGCAAACTATTTGCCAGGCCTGGAACCTTGATCCTCCTGAGTAGCTAGGATTACAGGCAGAAGCCGCCTGTACCCAGCTCCAGAAGGTTAGTGAATGTAGTAGGTTAAGAACTGGTAGTGAAAGCTGTTGACTGTCACACAATTCTTGAACGTGATTCCTCAGTTTCTTGGTTACAGTTGAAAGGTTTGTAACCTAATTTAACGGGTGAAGCAGTTGGCCTTGGGTGCATTCAGGGTGGTGTAGCTGTACACAGCATTTGGCTTCTGAATTTAAGAAAAAGGTGTCACTAGCCTGGGCTGGGCTCAAACTTGTGATCCTCCTGACTTCCCCTGCCCCCTGCCCCCCACTGAGGATTAAACTGAGGGCACTCTTACCACTTCAGCCATGCCCCAGAAATTTTTATTTAAACAAGGTAGTTGGGGATTTAAAAATACCCTTAGCTGTTAGTTTTATATTTCATGGTTACTGTGTTTTACATTTTTTCTTTTGTAGTGCTGGGGATCAAACCCAGGGCCTTCTGCATGCTAATCACACTACCACTAAGCTGCATCCATCCCATATTTTTTCATAAAAGTTCAGTAAGTATAATGAAAAATCCCCCATCCTGTGTTCTCAACCAGTGCTCCTGTCCCAGTCCCCAGTATGCACTGGAGTGCACACACAAATACTGATTCATGTAAATACCTTGAAAGGTAGCACGCAGGTCTGCACAGCCCTACAGCTTGCTTTCTCAATTTTCACACTTTCCCCCCTTTTTTTTTTTAGATAGTAAATGTAAAAATAAAGTTTATCAAGAAAGGAATTAGTGTAACAGGATAAGAGAAGTATTTCCTGCTCCCCACACAGGAAATGAGAGTAGAGACTAGACATCTTTTCATTTTGTACAAAGAGGAAAAAGACTAGTTTTCTCAAGAACAAAAAACCCTAAGGCCACCCAGTCAGGTACAAGCATGCCAGAAACCACCAAGTTCTCATTGGTCATCTCTGCTGTTAAGGGTCCTCAGTCTCATGAAAGGACAGATGGCAGACTTGTACAGTTTGATTGGATGACCATTGATTCTTAAAGTACCCCAAAGTTTGGCTTCATATTCGAGTGCTGTTTAAGAATTCACTTGGGTAGATGTGGTTGTGAGTCTTTGAAGAAAGATGCATAGCTTGTATAAAGGAGGGTTTCTATTTTTTTCCTGAAAGAACAGTGGAGCGGTGGAGTACTTAAGTTATGAGCTGGACTTGTACAGGTATTCGGGCTGGCAAGTGCCTTTTACATCAAAAGCTGGCTCGCTTGGGTGTGCAGTGCGGGATACTGCAAGAAGGATCTATGGCCCATGTCTGAAATAATGAAGGCTGCAGCGCACCCAAGTGGTTGAGGTTGACCGCGCACTTTTTTTTTTTGCTTTTACTTTTCTACTTTAGAGGCTTTTTGCTTACTCTTCTGTAAAAGTTAATATGTTGTTCCCCAAATGCCCACACTTTCTTCTTTTTCTGCCTAGAATGAGCTGATCTTCCATCCCTGTAGCCTGTTTCTACCCCAGCTGGAATTGCAAACAGTTCCACAAAGACTCAGTTTCCTGCTGAATCACTTCAGGTATATGTACTCAAAACAACTCCGATGGGCACCCCCACCTCCACCTTCCCCCCTCCTCCCACAATTCCCTCCATTTTCCATTTCCTCCATTCACTCAAGTTGTTTTACTAAAATGCTCCTACTCCCACCCCACCAAACCAAACGCTGTCCAATGTCAAGACCTTCCTGGACTGACCCAGTTAGAATGATCCATCTTCCTAAAATCTCATCTGGTTTTTTTTTTGTGTGTATGTGTGGGGGGAGCACTAGAGTTTGAACTGAGGGCATCACACTTGCTAGGCAGGCACTCTTACTACTTGAGCCACTCCACCAGCCCTTTTTGTGGTGGATTTTTTCGAGATAGGGTCTTGGGAACTATTTGCCCAGGCTGGGTTCAAACCGCAATCCTACTGATCTCTGCCTCCCGAGTAACTAGGTTTACAGGCGTGAGCCACCAGTGCCCAGCTCTGTCTATTGTGTTAAGAGTTCTTTCTTTTTTGTTTTTATTTACTTTAAGATGGTTTTGCTTCGTAGCCCAGGGTGGCCTTGAAGTCTCAGTCCTCCTTGTGTCAATCTCCCGAGTGCTGGGGTAGAGTTCATTATTCCAGTGATTTACTGCTATTCTTTTATTTGAGCATAAACCATAGTGATGCATGGCAGCTGGGATTGGGTCCTTCTGTGGTCAGACGGTCAGGAGAGGCTCTCTGGGAGGTGACTACTCAGACCTGAGAGACAGCAGAGCCCAGAGCAGGCCCTATGCTGGGACAAGGGCCTGTGTGATGAGCAGAAAGGAGCAGCTTGGCTGCAGTGTAGCCAGTGGGTGGGGAGGCAGGGCTGGTGGGCTTTCAACAAGTGCCAAATGTCGGCTCTTTTCTTTTCAGTGCTGGAAATTGAACCCAGGGGCCTCACAAATACTAGGCAAGTTCTCTACCTTTGAGCTCCATCCCTTGACATTAGCATTTTAAGAAATTCCCTAGCAGGCCTGGAGTATGGCTCAAATGGTTGAGTGCCTGCCTAGCAAGTGTGAGGTCCTGAGTTAAACCCTCATTATTAACAAGAAAACCCCAACCTGTGTGAGCAGATCTATCATGCAGCTGAGGCAGGGCACCTCTGATTGGTTGGTTGGTTTTTGGTGGTACTAGGGTTTGAACTCAGGGCCTCACGTGTGCTAGGCAGGTGCTCTACCACTTGAACCATTCCACCAGCACCCCTGGTTTAAAGTGTTATCATTAAGTGGGTGAAATACTCTCCAGCCAAACTATAGCCAGATAATTGCACTGAGAAAGAGTGAAATTCAAACATGTAAAAGAATGTTTCAGGCTGGGGCTCAAGCAGTAGAGTGCCTGCCTAGCAAGCTGGAACCCTGAGTTCAATCCAACACTACCAAATAATAATAATAACAATAATAATAATAAATGATGTCTCATCACCAGCAATTATTATTTGGGGCTTTATTTTTCATTTTTTGTCTTTTTTGTTACTTTTTTGTAGGTGTTCATTTAATCAAAGCTTTGTTGAGTCCCTGCTATTTTAGGATGCTTCCAGTGATAGAAAACTCATCACTTTGTTCTAACCAATAGGGAACTTAAGACATTCAGAATAAGGCTCTATCCTCTTTTCTCAGGTTGTCAGCACTATGAGCAGTTTCAGATGACACATGCAGATCAGACAAGATCCAGAGGAAGGAAAGGTGGTATCTCTTTCCTGGTGGCTGGAACAGTGAAGTCTATATTTTTACCTTTTAGTTTTCCTTATTCTTTTTCCTCCTGTGTTTAGAACACTTTTTTTTTTTTTTTTCCAGTTCTGGGGTTTGAACTCAGGGCTTATACCCTGAGCCACTCCACCAGCCCTTTTTGTGATGAGTGTTTTGAGATAGGGTCTCGTGAACTATTTGCCCAGGCTGGCTTTGAACCACGATCCCCCTGATCTCTGCCTCTTCAGTAGCTGGGATTACAGGCATGAGCCACCGGCACTCAGTTTAGAACACAAATTTTGACAGGAAAGGAAGATTAGGACAGGTTTATCTCTTGTTCAGAGATGGTCATAGAAAAATAGGACCCAAACTAAAATGAAAAAAAGATAAAAATAGGACCCAGGCCAGGTGTACATCTGTAATTCCAGTACTCAAGAGGCTGAGGCAAGAGGATCTTAAGTTCAAGGCCAGCCTGGGTTACATCGTGAGAGTATCTCAGAAAACAAACAAAAAGCAGGACCTGTTTATAAGCTGTCAAGTGAATGTTAAAATGTACAGAGTCCCCCAGACTCCAGGGAAGGAAGGAGTGACAACCAGATGGACCATGGCAGAAGGGAGCAGGTAGATGTAGCTCAGCCATCTGTGTGTCACTACCTGTACAGTCCACGTGATGACAGTCTGCTGTGCATCATGTGACTGCCTCTTGGAAGTCCCCGTCTCAGTTTCCCTCCCTGGTGGTTTTTGGGGCTTTTTGAAGAATGCTGATGAGTTACACAAATCTGCTCGTAGTAGCTTGTCACTCAGCCAGCCAACCTGCCCAGGAGATTCCGCCTGTGATCTCTTGCTCTCCTGTCTAAGGCCTCACTGGACTGCATCAGGGACTCCACTTCCTTCTTTTTGGGGCTTTGAACTCAGGGCCTACATCTTGAGCCTTTCCACCAGCCCTTTTTTTGTGAAGGGTTTTTTTGAGCTAGGGTCTTGTGAACTATTTGCTCAGGCTGGCTTCAAACTGCAGTCCTCTAGATCTCTGCCTCCTGAGTAGGTAGGATTACGGGAGTGAGCCACCAGCACCTGGCTCCAACGGTACTTTTAAATGAGGACTAAACAGATACTAACAAATAGTACCCTTAAGTGATTTGTGTCAAGTCCCATCCACATCACCAG